TGAGGGAGTAGTATTATTTATTATATATATATTATTTTATTAATTGAATACATAAGAACGTAGTTATTTCTCCTCATCATATATACCGTAATAGGGTGTAGGTACCCTTTTTTTTTGAAAGTAAGTAGAATAACTATAAATTATTATTTATTGAGAAAAGAAAATAAAATATATTTCCTCATAACCTTTCACTTACCGGCGGCAAGGTGGAGAGGGGTGTACACACTTTATGATACTAATTTCTATCATTGGGGAATAGTTGTATATTGGTGTCAAAAGAAGGTACCACTGCCTGCTTCACCCCATGAGCCATAAAATACAAAGCTTTGGGCCGGATTTAGGGAAATGGTGGAATCTAAGAGCTTTGTCGGCTCTTATTAGGAAATCACTAGTTGTTTAACAATGAAATACCCACTTTTGTTTGTCGTCATTTCTTTGTCTCTTGTAGACCCTTATGGAACTTGTTGCGACTTGTTATTTTGTAACAGACGGTTTTTCATTTCTCGTGGTTATTTTATTGCTTTTCCTTTAATCTTTTTGAAACCAAAATTTATAAATTTGTAGTTTATTTTTAATTAATTTCCCCCCTTGGAAAAAATATTCTTATATTTATTTTTTATATATACACACATTCTATTATTTTTGAATGGTAGCGCGGAGCTTCGCGCCCTTTTTCATTTGGGTTTCTCCTGTATAAGACCAGGCGTTCGGCAACCGTTGGATATACAATATTCTTGGATACAAATTATAAAAATTTAATAGGGAAAAAGTTTTGTGTATAATGTAATAAACCCCAAAATAGAGCATCAAAAGGTAAAAGAATTTGGGATAAAAAGGTGAAAAAAAAACGAAGGGGGGTTATAGAGCGTAGTTGGGCCTCACCTTTTGATCTGTTTTAGCCTTTTTGGTTTTTTTATTTTTATTGAAGGGTTTTTTTTTTCTCTTCCCCCCTGGTTCCTATTCGCAAGCACCCCACCTTTTGGATTTATTGTATTTTTTTTCCACCGCTTTTGATCAACACATCACACAACACAACATCGACAATACACAACACACGTTATTAACAACACACCCACAATCAAGCAAAAGTCCTCAGCTCACCACCCAATCAAACCAACCAAACAGCAGCAAATCGTTCTTTTCTACACACATTTGTACTTTTTTGCCCAGAAGGATTTTAATTCTTGTAAAGGACCTGTGTTGATGTTTGTCCACAGGGTTTCTCATTATATTTATAATTTTGGTATAACCCCTTGGGCCAAGGAAAAAATTTTGGGATACCAGCCACCGGGGGTTTTTTTTTTATTTTGGAATTGGGGGGGATTGAAGGGTGACCCCCAAAAATGCCACAACTGATGTTAAAGCAAGTTAAGCCTGAAATATGTTTATTCGCAATAATTTGGGAAAAAACTTTGGGGGGCTTTTGAACCAGTTTTTAGGCTTAAAGGATTAAGCAGTTAAATTTTTTTTTATGGCAATTGGGAAAAAAAAAATAGGAAAGGATTTGGAAGCCTTTTGTTTGGGCCCCAGAAAAGTTTCTTAAGGTGTTTGAAAGTCGTGGAAACTGGTTCTTGGTCTTGAAAAATTGGTTTTTTTAAGCCCGTTGAACTGCTTTTCCTGGGAAAGCTTTGGGCCCCCCCTTTTACCCCGGGCGAAAGACACCCCTGTCCAAAGGTATCCTTTAGAAAGAAATTGTCCCGTTTCAAAGCGGGAGAAACCGGCGCCCCGAGAAAAACGGTTTTCGCCATGCAGAAACAAAGAGTTTCCTTTGCGACTCCAGCCCTGGCTATACTGATCCAAAAATGGCCTTGGGGGGGCCTTTGGGAAGAAAAATTGCCTTTTGAAAATTGGCCCGCCCCACTTTAAATGGGAACCCCAAAAGAAAAAAGGCTGATTAGCCCGTCTGGAGAAGGTGGCCAAGAAAAAAAAAATGAAGAAAAATGTTGTCCATTGACGGTTAGGCTTGAAAGGTTTTCAAGAAGGATCTTTCTTTAGTTTTGGGTTTTTTTTTTTTTTTTTGTCCTGAAAAAAAATGACCACAAAGAAAAATAAATTTAATATGCCCCTGAAAAAAATTTTTTCAATAAAGCGCGTCTCATTCAGTTTTTTTTTGGCCCTTCAGTTTTTATTTTACTCCATTTGGAAAGAGCGGGTTTTTTTTGCCCCCCCTCCTGGGCAAGTTTTATTTTTTTTTCTTTGTTGGGTGGTCTGTTTGAAGAAAAGAAGGCTCAAGCCCCAGCACTCTGTTTATGAAATAGGAAACCTTTTCGGCTTCTTTGTTTTCCCTGGGGTAAAAGTTCCCTTTTTGGTTCCAGAAGGGCCCCTTGTTTTTCTTTTCTTGTTGAGGCCCTCCAGTTTTTTTTTTGGTTGGCTGGGTTTGGGGGGGACTTGGTTCAGAAAATTTTTCTTTTTAACGAAAAAGGCTTTTGAACCCTCTCCAAAAGCCTGGGGGTTTTGGGGGACTTTGGGAAAAAAGCCAGCTACGGTTCCCATTTGGTTTGCGCCCTTTTTTGGGCAAAAGGGTTATTTGGTTTTTGCCCCTCCAAATTTCCCCGGGTTCCCTCTTCAAAAGTTTTCGCTTTTTTCTTGGAGTATGGTTAGACCCCCAGGAAATGGCCCCTTGCCCCCAAATTAGACGTTACCTTCAGGGGTTCCAGTGTGGGAAACCGTGGGGGGTTTGGAAGGTGGGGGGGGTCACGTTTTGGGTTTTGTTGGGCCCCAGTTTTTCATAAAAAACGAAAACGAATGGGCCCCCAACTTTTTTTTGGTGGGTTGCCCCGCTTTTGAATTTTGGGGGGGGAAGCGCCCCCCCCCCTTTTGTTGCTTGAATTTGGGAGCCTTTTGTGGTGAGCGCACACACACACACGCAACCACATGGGCAGATGTGCGTTGCACGTACATAAAAATATAGGAACGTGGGTTTCTTAGGATTCAGAGCTGAGAGAACACGTGCGCCCGGCTCTCGACTTATGTTGATCTTTTTTGAGGTTTTCTTTCCACTCAGTCTACTTTTCTGCCCTCTTCTCTTCCTCCTGTTAGTTTTTTGCCCCGGCATACTTCTTTTCTGGATCTATCTCCTTGTCTTCGTCTCATTGCTAAGCAACAATGGCAGCCATGACAGATCTCTGCTTTGGCTCACACAGTGTCACATCTGACTTTAGCCAACCCCTCCTTCTTTCCCTCATAAACACACATATACACCCACATGCTATACAACCTAGTGCCATGCTGGTTTATGATTCTGAAACCCACCCCCACCCACAAAACGGCTCCCTAGTCAGCACCCCCCACACTAAGGTGACAGGAGTGAAGCGTCCAGCTGGATGGAGCTGTTGTGGTGCTCTCCTCAGGGCTTTGATCTTTTGCCCTTCATCCCCCAAAGCATTGCCTGCCCTGCCAGCCTGGAGAGGGGCTGGGTCATTTCTTGATTTAGCACTGCACAGGGGACAGAGGTCCGAGGAGGCAAAAGTGTTGGAGAGATGTGACGCATACTTGTGCCGGGTTTTGCGACAGCTGGGACAAGGTGGAGGCCCTTTTTCTAGATCATCCGTCCCCTGTGCCCCACCAGCCAAGGCAGCCTTCCCTGCCTTAACGTCCCCCTAGCCAGCACTCACTCTTGGCTCCTCTTAGCTCGACAGCACAGACTCATTGTTTTTAAGCCTCCCTCCGGTCTCTGGGGAGAAGAGGGAGAAGGCTGAGGCTCCCTCTCTCTCCCTTTCCTCGGTACCCCTTGATCCCGGCCCCATTTTTTTAAAGCTTTAAGACTGACCTGTCAGCCACTCTCTCTTCCCCAGAGTCAATGTAGGCCGGCCCCCTTAAAGAGCCATCCGCATCGGCCTTCTGTTTGAACAGGCCCCACCAAAAGACCCCTTGTGCTGCCCTTTGTGTGCACATAAATAAGATCAGAGTTAAAGTCCCTGTGCTCTTGTGTGCAGAGACGGATCCTGTGGGCTAGGAGGACTAATGCCGCTTGGCAGGCCCATTGATCCCAAAGCTCCTCACAGGACGTTGCACAGCTTTGCAAATGCCCTGATGCCTGGGGAAATATGGCTTACTTGGGAAGCTTAAATGGATGGCCCAATACAACGTTTTTTAGTGGTGCCTTGCGGTTGGGTTTTAATCTTGGGTTTGGGTTTTTTGACGCAAAATGTTTGGGGTAAAATAAATTGTAAAGCATAAGTGGTTTGGGTCTTTTTTTTTGCCTCCATTTCTTTTAGTCAGACTGGGGCTCTGGACAGCGTCAGTGCGAAAAATGAAAAACATTAGTATATATATATATATATATATAACTCTGTAGAGTTTAGAAACTAGAAGATTGGTGAATATATCGAAAGAAATTTGAGAATAATTTGATTTTTGCACTATAAATGTCTTACCTTTTGACCTCTTAACCTAACCTATTGTTTAATTAGAATTATCTTATCTTATCTTATCTTATCTTATCTTATCTTATCTTATCTTATCTTATCTTATCAGAGTGCATTTTGGAAGAAGACGCTGATTTAAAGCCAGGATGAACTTAACCTGACTGTAACTGTGGTTGTCTTGTACTGTGTATTTCAACAGCAGATGCACAGAGAATGTGTCCTGTGTTGCTATTGGTGGCTGTAATAGTAGTGGGCGTGGCCAGAGGAGCTGAAAGTCAATGCTGGGACCATCCCGTCTGTCAGGAGGTCAACTCAGAGAGGAGCATGATGGTAAACGCACACATGAGGCTGAACCAAAGCTGTGAAACTGCAGGCCAAGAAGAGCTGAGGATAAATAGTGAGAAGTTTACCGTGCACAGATGATTTTAAGGGCCCAAGGTTGCATACAGACAGATTTGTCAGTGCTGCTGACCAAGTAGAATTACAGAGGTGATTCCACCATTCAGCGTTTCTGATCGATAACTGACGTCTTGATGTAAAATGTTACAGAAATGACAGAAAACGAGGGACAGAAGGCCATAAATTCAAGGCCACAAACAAATCATTAATTTGATGCAGCATCATGATGGACTGTATATAAGAGATGAGTCACTGTGAAGTCATTTACTGGGTTTCACTGGTAGACTCAGCATGGGTGGGTTTTCAGCCTGGGATCACCTGAACTCCCATCATTTGAGATTGGAGCAAAGGGAATTATGGGAAAACGTTGTCATCTAAAATTTGGTCAGATGATAGCCTTTGATGGTTTGCACGTTTTGTCCTGCAGGAGTGTATTCAGCTTTGCCACTATGAAAACAACGAGAAGCCCATCATCCCTGGTGATGCCCACCTGCAGCCTCCTCCCCCATCGGGCCCTCTTTCTCTTTTACCTTTCCCTCCGCCCTTCTTCTCCTCTCCTCAGGCCAAACGCTCCTACTCCATGGAGCATTTCCGCTGGGGGAAGCCTGTTGGGCGAAAACGCCGCCCGATTAAAATCTATACCACCAACGGTCTGGAGGAGGAGTCGGCGGAGCTTTTCCCCGGTGAGATGAAAAAGCGGGAGCTCGCTGGTGAGATGATGACGATGGACGATAACGAGGGGAAGTTAGCAGAGGGGGGCCAGGAGGAGGTGCCAGATGACAGCCATGAGAAAAAAGATGAAATGTACAAGATGAAGCACTTTCGCTGGGGCGGCCTGCCGGCAAGCAAGCGTTACGGCGGGTTCATGAAGAGCTGGGACGAGCGCAGCCAGAGGCCGCTGATCACGCTCTTCAAAAACGTCATCAACAAAGAAGCCCAGGAGGAGAAGAGGGAGCAGTGAGGAGGGAGAAAAGAGGGAGGGATGGAGAGAAGACGAGCAGACAGAAAAGTTTTATTCACAACTGCAAACAAGTCCTGTGACTAAATACAAGATGTGTTTTTGTCATTGCCACATTATGACAGGGTTATTAATCCACGAGCGCCGCATGATGTAATACGTCCATGAGCAGCAAATATGAAATTATTTGAATACCCCAGTTTTCCAAGTTTTTGGATATTTTGATTCAAAACACGGTAACCACCAAATATTAACAGATCCAATCAGCCTTTCTGCACAAAACAACGTTGGGGCTGCTTTCCATTTGTTTTAGCTGAATAACCAACGAGGAGAGAAAAGAACAAAGGGAAAGAGAGTGGTCTCATGTCACTCAGGTTAATAATGCTGTCTTATTCAGGGGTAAACAAGGAACAGTATCTTTCCCATCATGTTTGTAAGTCCCTGCCTCCCAGACTGATATACTGGACCTAACACAGAGTTCTCGATGCTTCAGAAGAGTCAGAACTGTCATTGAGGTCATTACACTGCTGTCATTATAATCCCCCAGAACAAAAGTACAGATTTAGTTTTATTGTGACAGATAATGTCCAATGGAAGCTAACAGCTCGCTCAGTGAGATGCAAGTAATAAAAAGGATTATTATTATTATTATTTTTTTTATCTTTGTCATCTTTGTGCCAGAAATGAGAAAGAAACACAGAAAGAAGATGAGCGAGAGAGAGTGGGTGAGAAGAAATGTTTCATATAATGCAAAAAACCCTGTAAATCGCATAAAAACATAAAGATATTTGCAAGCAAAAAATACAATGCATGTTGTTTTTCTATCTGATTCAAAGAAAAATACAATTTATAAAAACTATGTAATAAAGATTATTCCTCACGCATTTACATTATAGCCATATGATGAATAACTGATTATAGTGAGTGCTTCAGTAACAGCTCTGAGCAGCACGTGTGTGTAATACCACACACAGGCCACAAGAGAGCAGCACTGTTATACAGCTTTACAGACACGTCCACGGCTGATCAATTGAAAGGTTTATTGTACTTTATTAATAAATTAAATACTTTACATGTGACACATTTCACAGAAGTCGAGCTCAATAAAGAAGCTTCAAGAAAAAAGCATAGAGTCAAACCAAGGACATTACTCCTGCAACATGAGCATTGTCTACGCAGCCAGAGGTATTTATCTTAATTTTAATTAAAATCATCAAAGGTTGCTGAGTTTTCTTCTGATTTTCAAGCATTTTAGTTTTATACAAATGCTAGAACTGTATTTATGACATAGCTCAGTTTAAAATGAGTTTTAACTGACAGATTTGCTTCATCATTTTAAGGGATGAAGGGTCCTGTCCTGGCAACGTCTGACTAGAAACTAGAGCAGCAGATGAGTCACAGAGTCCCTCCTTACTCAGTCCTATGTTAACAGTCTTTAAAGAAAGACATTTAGACATTTAGAGAAATTAGGATTACAGGAAAAACTGGAAATTTAATTCATTGGGATTTTCAACATATTTCGGTTGGCTCGTGTGATGCGGCACGCAATCAATGGTGGATCAATGTCCCTCTTAAGGGAAAATCTGGGACTTTCCACCATTTGCCTTTTAGAACCAAAGAAACTTCTCGGATGAAACATCCTCAAGAACTTACAGAGGTCCAGTCGCTTTATTTCCAGACTCCTAAGATAAATAACTAATAACACATTTTACGATGATTTATGAATACTAAAGTATAAGTCCACGGTCA